TGTGATGTATCATACATTTAGTTAATACGCATGCGCGCACATGCACATTTTACAATAAGCCTGTGACGTTCAGAGGAGCCGTCTGATCATCCTACACGGCAAGATACAACAAAGTAAGTTAGTAAATTGTTTTGGTGCAAAGTACACATGGTATTATTGTGTATTTACACAACTTACAGTGTGCAATGCATTTCCTGAACCGTAAGTACATCGTTTTGGTGACGCTTTGCGTGTAATATGTGCTCGACTTCAGGTGGAGCGAAAACTCAGTTTGTTTATGTGCGAACCGTGCAAGTGAAGTTAGTCTGAGCTTTGTGAATTTAAACAATATAAGGACAAAAAATTATTCTGCTGCCTTAACTGTTAACTCAGAGTGTCATACAGCTGTTAAACTGTAAAGTCAGGGTGTCATACAGCTGTTAAACTGCTAAGTTAGGGCGAACTGAGGCATTGAGGTGTAATACAGCTGTTAAAAACAAAGTATATGATGATCTGACAGGTTAACTGTTAACTCAGGGTGTAATACAGCTGATATTCAGGGCGGATTGAGACATCAGGGTGTCATACAACTATTATTCAGGGCGGATTGCGGTGTCAGGGTATCATACAGCGGTTAATATAACAGATTCTGGAAAACAATTAAATCTCTCTCAGGCACCCCCCAATCATCTGACCTCCCATCACAACTTCTCGTTAACTCTGTTCCTGTGTCAAATAAGCACGAGATCCTGAACTGTCTCAACAAACATTTTGTTGCTTCTGGTTCTTTATTTGACACAGTAACTAATGGAAGATCAGCCACTTCACTTAATAACCAAATTTCTACAAATCAAATCCCTCCTACAAGTCAATCCTCAGTTAATCACAGCTTCTCTTTTTCTCCATTCTCAGTCAGTGAGGTCAATAAACTGTTAAAAGATCTTGATCCTAAAAAATCTGCAGGTCCAGATGAACTTCCACCTTATTTCTTAAGGCTGGCTGCTCATATCATCACAGTCCCTGTGACCCACATCTTCAATCTCTCCATGAGACAAAACTCCATCCCAGACACTTGGAAAACAGCCTTTGTTCTTCCTTTGCTGAAGGGAGGAGACCCCCCCTCACTGAACAACTATGGACCAATCTCTAAACTCTGCATTTTAGCCAAGGTTCTAGAAAAACTGATAAACTCTCAAATCAGAAATGACCTGGACTCATTTAACATCTTACCTCCACATCAATCTGGTTTCAGGAAACAACACAGCACAACCACTGCTTCACTGAAGGTTCTTAATGACGTTGTTGAAGCACTGGATGCTAAAGATTATTGTGCTGCACTTTTCTTAGACCTGTCTAAAGATTCTGACTCTGTGGATCAGAACATCTTGTGTCATAAACTCTCAGAAACTGGTTTCTCAGATCACACCATTGGTTGGTTCTCTAACTATCTTTCAGA